GATTTCATTGGTCACGAACGGACCAATCAGAAATGAGCTTTTTTATTTTAAGACTTTTGGCCGTTTTGATCGAACTTTGCTATTGGTTATACAGGGCACTGAATTCGAATCCGAAGCTCATTTTTTTTTGGCCAAGATTTCATTATTCAAGAACGGACCAATCAGAAATGAGCTTTTTTATTTTAAGACTTTTGAGCGTTTTGATCGAACTTTGCTATAGGTTATCAATGGCCCTGAATCCGAATACGAAGCCCATTTTTTTGGCCGAGATTTTATTGGTCAGGAACGGACCAATCAGAAATGAGCTTTTTCATTTTAAGACTTTTGACTGTTTGGATCGAAGTTTGCTATAGGTTATACAGGGCACTGAATCCGAATCCGAAGCTCATTTTTTTGGCCGAGGTTTCATTGGTTGAAAACCGACCAATCAGAAACGAACTTTTTTATTTTAAGGCTTTTGACCGCTTTGACGGAACTTTGATGGAAGTTATAGAAGGTCAGGATTCAGAATCTGAGATCAGATGTTGTATCCGAACTTCCCACTGACTTGAAAGCTGTGGAATCAGAAATTAACTTTTTTGCTGATAGTGAACAGGTGGTGATATCATAGAGGATGCATTTATCTGTGCGCTTGTCTCTGTCAAGTGAGGAAAAACAACAGAGATTTAGCATCCAGTTCTCTTTTACATAATGTTGATTTAATCATGATCTTTACATGAATTGTGAAGTCCAAGTATGTGTTAATGTTTGTCTACTCTCCGCGAGACATTACTGCTAAAGTTGTATTTTGGACTGCTTGTGCATACCGAAGATTCATTCAGTGAAAGTGGAGTACATTTTACCAATCGATATATAGTCGCAAGGCATAAAATTTTGCAATATTAATCAGACTTGTTCGCATAATATTTCAATATTTGAGTCGAAATTTTGAAATGAAGACTTTGCTTATGTCAGAGTAAAAGATTAGTCATTTAGTGGTACGAAGTTAAGAAGGGCAGCAGCTAGTCGTTAGTGGCGCCCCGACGGGGCGCAGACGAACGTCTGCTGCTGCCAAAGCAGGTTTATAGGATTCGTGATTTAGGAAATGCCTGCATAGCGTCTAGCAAAATGGTTGAAAATGCGCCACTAAGACTGAATCAATGACAGTTTATGTATAGAAGGATTTATACAAATATCGAGAAGTTAGAGAAACAACGAGTATATGTTAAGAAGATGTTTTGCCTGATATAGAAAATCTAGTACTCGCTAGGGATAAATAAATACGCTTTTGATATAGTTAAAGCTTGAATCATTCAGGTCTCGTATAAAAGAGTAGCCATTTAGGAGTGTAGGTTCAACCTTTGCAGTAGCTAACAGCGATTGGCGCTACGTTGAAGCATTGACAATCAACTGCAATGTCTCCGATTTTAAATTCACATTTAGTTGGTTTCAGATACGGGCTGTATAAAGCCAGCTTTTTGATTGAGTAATTTGCTAAGATTATTTTGATGAGAAATTCAATTAGATCTCAGATTGGCTAGCTATGCAAGGGAATTAAATGCATAAAGAATAGTTCACAACAATGTTTCCACTTTGGAATTTCTCATGGGAAATCCTCATCTTATATTTCTGACTACTTTTAAAATTAAGAGAAATCTAGAATCGGGTAGAATTTAAATGATAGTGCACGATCATATACTCAAATAGAACTGAACATGGCAGCAACTATAGCTGCAAGTATGAGTGGCGTCCATTTGGGGCACTTAAGAGCGACTAACTGCTTACCGACGAAATTCATTAAAGGAACGCTTCAGACACTCCAAATTCATTGGGAGAATCTCTACCATTTACTTCTTACTTGTTTTAGTGGGAACGAGAGATGGCAAAAAGCTAACAAGTATATTTGAGGGTGTGAGTGAGAACAGCTGTGCTGAATTTGCTGACGATCGGGATAGAACATTCCATGAAAAACCTTAATTAAACAATTTACATAAGTTCATTCAAAGTAGATTTGAGTACAATAAAATCCGTTTTTCTCATTTCACTTATCCATACTTCTGCCCATTCATTTGTCTAAATTTCTTTGGGCATTTTGGAATTAACTGTTTAATCCGACGAGGACTTTGAGTGCAAATCTCACTCAAATGGTATATGACGAGTATTGGTTTGAACCAATATGATTTATTTTAATCTGAAAGTTCCGCTACGCAGGTATTTTTGTAGCGAGCACTGGTAAATGATATTCTCGGTTTTTTACTGGTGGCTATACGGATTATGATGATAGTTTTCGAGAAGTATAGTGCATTTTCACCCTATTATCTCGGATATGCTTTGTTTCTTGATTATCTCTACAAATCGAATATACTGTCTTTTCAGAGCCTGTGGATATTGCTGTACTATTGTGGGTCATACAGATTTACTTTGGATAGTACTCGTAGAGTATCAGTTTAAGTGAATGAATGGTATGGAAAGTAGTATCTCAAAGATACGCATGGCTATTCACACGCCGACACAGATTTGTGTATTACTATTCGCACTCAGACACAACCTTATACATAGGCCAGTTGCTAGCTTTTGAAAGGTATGTGTAACAGTAAAAATATCGAATCAGTCAAATATTCAGTCGAGGGTCAAGCGAGTCACAGAGACGAGCGTTACTTGTGTTTAATTATGATTTGTTTGAACTTTAGTGGATTGTATTGTACTAATTTTACGATTGATCGAGGGCTATCTGATAGACGAAATAAATAAGGAAAACAATGATTTTTTGATATTTTCTAATATTAATAAAATGTTATACTGAAAAACCACTGATTTCTCAATATATACAAGAACTTTAGACATACTACAATCTTGTTTATAATTTCTTCGTTAGAGAATATTTTTTAGAATCTTTAATAAAATTTTATGCTTTGGGAGCAAGTCAAAATCGCTTATATTTGAATGTTTATCATTTGTCACAAGTTGCAATTCTCTTAATTGGTCTCTAAAAAACGATCTCTAAATTAATCCATATTTGATCACCACAATGTACGATAGAGTTTTACGTATCCACAAATAGAAATTCGATTCAAGGATTGATTTATGGAACCACAATTTGTAGTAAATGATAGCTTACCTTATATTTACATCACATTCAGTAAAGACTTAAATTAAGAACAATTTTTATTTATAATGTCAGTATAAGAGAAACTTAACTACAGGTTGACCATTTAAGCATACTTTTAATATTTATTCTAAATTTATATTTAACAAAAGGCTTTAGAACGTTTAGTTTATCATGAAATTCGATATTTTTCTTGCATATGAATATAAAGATGCTTTAATAATAGGAGACAGAATAGTTCGAATGCCTTTTTATAGATGAATTTTAATATTCTACTCATGTGGAGTGCAATGAGCATATTTTGCACAACACATTTAACGAATGATTGTTTTTTTTCTAAGTCTTTTTGGGTTTGAATGGTATGAGAATACTTAACTATCGAACAAACATCAAAATAACTATGTGAGCTGACCCTCTTATTTCTGATTGTATGTCTATCGAATAATGTATCTATAATGAGTAGAAAACACTTCACTAACTATACTTTCCCCTAAAACATGCTCAAAACCAAATATTTTCTTATATAGAATCATTTTCACTTGAGCAAAATATTGATGAAACATATTATATTGATAAAAAGCTTCTATATTTATTCCTCCATTTTATTAATCAAATTTATCTGAGTAACCATCTCATTCTTTTCGATTTCCAGAATTTAAGAGCATATTAATTATCAACTCGAAAATCAGATTCACTTCGGGCAATATGGTACCTTCATTTGATACCTCGTTCAAAAGCTTATTATTCTTATGATTTCAGTCATGAATTCATCTCGATAAATTCTATAATTCATTCAATGCTACGTGAAATGTTTTCTTTTCTTACATATCTACTCATCTCAACAGGTAGGTGCGTTATTTTAAATTATTTCATAAAATATTTCTAACTTGTAATTTATACTTTTTATTACCACATTTTCATTATTTATTGATGGCGTTTATTTAATTTCATGAATACAACACTTTCCCAATTTTTCGTTTTCTACCATAATACAATCCGGGAATTCTCTGAGTTTTAATCAACTAATTGAATTAAAACATTTTTTTTCCCTTTTACTTTATAAATTCCTTTTATATAACCACACTGTAAACTAGAAGATAAGTTGTAGAGTTTGATGAAGAATATTCTAGGAATACCCACATGAATTCACCCATGATTCTTTAATTCTTTAAAAATGTAATATTCCAAAAATTAAGAATAAGAAATTTGATTTTCTAATTAGAAAATCGAAAGTGAGTTCATATGAGCATTCCTAGAAGTTTGGATTCTATTTAGTAACTTGAACATTTTCTAGCAAATAGGAAATGTACTATGAATTATCTACGTGTCTATTTATCTATTTGATTATCTATCTTTGGGGTGAAACAGATAGAAAAAAAGAATTAACTTAAAGCTGAATTAAGCAATGTGATTGATCTATTCCGACTTAAATCTGCTATTTATTCGTTAATTCAGTTTTAAATCGTCTTTTTCTCTGTCTGTTTGAATCCTATCTAATCTATCTATCTATCTATGCATCTAACTTATCGATCTACAGGGTGGCATAAAAGTCGGTTTACCGAAAAAAAATTGAATATCTTCATTAGAATTTCTATCAAACGAGCTAATTTTTTTTTAATCAATGATAGAGGCGTGTTCAAAGTTTATATCCATAAAGAAATGCTTAGAGAGACCATTTTTTAAGTACTAATATTGATCTCAACAAAAAAATTTTACTTTTTCAGAGGTAAGAAAAAACTAATATATGATAAAGAAAAGACAGTTTTTCAAGACAAAATGTAAATTCCCATTCATGTTTCTTTTGTTTATTATCAAAGACATTTTACGGTTATTTATTGAGAAGAAAAGAAAAGAACATCATAATATCTAATCAATATTTTTGTTTATATTCTTCAAAAGAAAAAGGAAGGATTCTTTAGCATAAATGTTCAAATTGTTTTCCTTCGGCGTTAATACACATTTGACAACGAGCAGCTACAGATTGACAGATTCTTTGGCATAGTTCAATATTATTATTGAGAGATGTAAATTCTTGTTTGATTAATGACTTCAGATGGTTTACATCACGAGGACTTTGAGCATATACACGATCTTTCATAATCCCCCATAATGAGAAATCACATGGAGTTAAATGTGGAGATAGTGGTGGACATTCAACGGTTCCTCGACGATCAATCCAATCTACAAATGTATCATCTAAATAATCCCGCACAATTTGGTCATAATGAGGTGGTGTACCGTCTTGTGGCCAGATCATTGTTTGAAAAGCTGAATGTTCTTCAACATCTGAAGATAGGTTTGTGATGTAATATTACCTTCAAAAAAAACAATGGTCCAACAACACCGTTTGACCATATTCTTCTCCAAACAATCACTTGTGGTACATTGAGCTCTTGTTCGATAATAAAATGTGGATTCGTCTCACTCCAATAAACACAATTGTGTCTGTTGACACGACCGTTTATTTGAAATGTGGCTTCATCCATCCAAAGGATGCGGCCTAATAGAGTCGGATCTTCTTGAGTTGAATTTAAAATCCATTCACAAAATTTCAATCGTCGATATGGATCATCCTCGTTCAACGCTTGTAACAATCTTGGCTTATATGGTTTTAAATTCAGATCTTGCATAAGACGTTGTAAACTTCTATGTGAGATACCAAGCTCAAGTGATGCACGTCTTTGAGACATTTGTGGATTTTGAGCAAAAGTTTCAGAAACGAGTTATATATTTTCTTCTGTTCTAACTGTTGTCGATCTGCCACTTTGTGGTGAATCTTCGACAGAATCTGTATCATCAAACTTTTTTACTAATTTGTGAATTTCTTGTCGAATTGGCATTTTCTTGTCGGAAAATTCATTTCGAAAAGCTCCATTTACTGCTCGTAAATTTCCTCCTGATATCCATCATTGTTTGACGAGAAAAATCCTGTTTTCTTTTGTCAGATATAACGACATCTGCAAACACATGAGCTCGAAGCAAGAGTTACGTAGTAAAAGAACAAACCTTATCGAGAATACATGAAACACACGTAGATAGACAGTAGATAAATATGAGCAACAATATGACAAATAGAAATATTTATATGTGAAGTATCAATGTGGATTATAGTAAAACAGGAGAAAAAAATAGAAAGAGAAATTATCTATAAATATCCAACACGTGTTATCGATAAGCTCATTTAATTGATTACATTTTGTCTTGAAAAACTGTCTTTTCTTTATCATATATTAGTTTTTTCCTACCTCTGAAAAAGTAAATTTTTTTGTTGAGATCAATATTAGTACTTAATAAATGGTCTCTCTAAGCATTTCTTTATGGATATAAACTTTGAACACGCCTCTATCATTGATTAAAAAAAATTAGCTCGTTTGATAGAAGTTCTAATGAAGATATTCAATTTTTTTTCGGTAAACCAACTTTTACGCCACCCTGTATACATACACTATACATGAAACAAGTTCAGATTAACCCAAACGACAAGTAGTTACAACCGATTTTCAAGTGTCACGAAACTTTTTGCCACCATTATAGATTGCCTAAGTCTAATTAACTACTCCCTTACTCTCTGACTCTCTTGAGGGCCTATAAGTACATCCATACCATAGCCCTTGAAGACCTATGGGTACTCCAATATAGTAGCCCTTAGCGTCTTTCCCATATAGCCTTATTTGACCTTTAATCGGGCACAGATACATACAGGGCTACCAAATCGAAATTTCAAAAACCAGGAGTTTATCAGGAGTTTTTTACCAGACACCAGTAGAAAAATTAGGAGATTTTTATTGAGATGAAAAAGCTCTTACATAATCTATCATATATTAAATTAAAACTTTGCTTTCATAAAAAACTTTCTTTACTTGTTGTCATCAATTGAAAACGAAATCTTTCTCTAACAATGAAGACTTTTGTATTGTAAGTTAATAAGACTAGATGTATTCGGATCAGATTAAAGATCTTATTACCAAATTAATAAATCTGAAACTTGAGCTGTTGTTGGCGTATCCGGATAGACATATCCGAATTTCAAGATATTTACAGTTGTGCAAAGTGCTTATAATTTAAAATTTCGGTGCAATTTATTAATATTTTTTCCTAATGGCTAGATACATTTTTCTGAGTTTCGTAGATTTTTTTCTAATTTTAAATAAATTTTCTAATAAGATTCGACAAATTCTATTCAATCATTAGGAAAAACAATATAAATGGTACTGAAGTTTTGTACTGAGAGGACCCTAAGTAGACTTAAATATCTTAAAATTCAAATATGTCTATTCTAGCATACCAACAGCAGTTCATATTTTGGATTTGTTAGTTTAGCAATGAGATCTTTAGTTTGACCTGAGTATATCTAATCTTATTAACTTATCACACAAACATATCTATTGTAAGTGGCTCGTAAGAAAAAAAAGATTATTACATGTACTTTATATTATTATATATTTTACTGTCAATCATTAAACTATATAAAGAAAATAAAAAAGTTTGCTTCAAAATAGACAAAAACGGGGCAAAAAATTGATCTCGAATGAATTTGATGCCAAACTGATCTCTCATTTTGCTAATGAAAACATCGAAAAAAATACGAATCATCCTTTCTTCTCAACTAAAAGCACATAAGCTAGTGCTGCAAAATTTGCTTATGAAATTCATTATGTAATTTTTACAAACATCTGGTGATAACAACGTTATATCTGATTAGTGCCTAAATTCAGCTAATACTAGAGCTATTGTTCTCTTTTTTTTTTCTTTATGTTTGCCTTTTTATTTACATTGTTACTATAATTAAAGGCACAAAATCTCAAAACTACGACAAACCAGGAGAATATATTAAAACCCAGCTCCTGGTACTAGGAAATTTTCTTACCAGAAGAAAGCTCTAAAAACCAGAAGATTTGGCAACCCTGGATATATAGACAGATAGATAGATAAACACTAAACATTATATACTATACATGGATAGCTGCCTCTATCGTACATGTGAGAATGAATCAAATCGGAAGTGGCCGGTTGAACGATGTAGGTCGTGTCTTATAATGCAGTGATTCATAAAACATCGATCAATCTGCTAGTTTTAAGCTCTGTTTGTCAGCAATTCACTAACAAGGATATTTTCTCAAGTGTCCATCTCAGATTTTCAATGAATTTTTGTCTGTATTCTTCATAAACGTTTATTAATAGGACGATCTAAAAGAGTTCAATTAGATTGTTTTTTGACAGTTAACGGTGACTAAGTGCAATTAGAAAATAAGTAAATGCTGTGAATCTATGAATTTTCGGTAACCTATATGATATCATCATGAGACATGTTATGATACGTGAAATGTAATGTACACGACTCATGAAAACAAAAAATAAATACATATCGATTAAGTTATGTTTCTTTTTTTTAAGGTTATCTGCATGAATCGTGCACATTATATTTCACGTGTCATACCATGTCTGATGATGATATCACATAGGTTTTTAAAAGTTCACATATTTTGTTCAAGAAAAAACATCATATGAAAGATATGATTTTCATGATAGTTATCTAGTTTCTCCTTGCACTTACTATTCTTTCTGCCACTCGTTCGTATATATTAATGGTGATTATTTGATTGTCATTACTTAACCTTAGAAGTAACAATAGAGAAACGTAAGAAATCATCACTTCACTGATGTCTGAGTACTGGCCAAATAATAAATATTTCTCTTTCCACTAGCAGACAACGTTTGACAGCTTCTCTTAGAAAAAATAAATGCGGAAACTTCGGATTTAAATCCGAGAGTTATGTGTACTTCAAAAAGTGAATTATACGAATCAGTCATCCTAGAATGTCTGAACATGAAAATTATACTGGGGAACCTGCTATTTCAAATGTTGATTTCTATTGCGCGTTGTCAAACCAATAGAACTTGGGACCGAATACAGCTCAAGTTTGAACTCTTTCCCTTGATTTACCCTAAGAAAGTCGTTTTTTCTATAACTTCATTTCTATTGGTCACTGCACAACTAATAGTATTTCGATGGAAGTGCAGTACACATTCGAGTTCTCTATCTTTGAAAACCTCGAAGTATCATCACTGTGATCGGAAGATAAAGCTCTGTTTGTGGATCAATTAGATAGTGGACCAAAATATAACCTAGTTCTCTTTTAGTATCCTTGTGATAGGTTAGTCAACCTTCTTGCTTCTTTATGTTTTATATATTATTTTGTAGCTCTTGAAATTCTCTATCGAATGATATATAATAGTTGGGGTTTTAGTTGACTATGATAGGAAAAGTCTTTTACAAAAGCGGGGATGGGTCGATTTTTCCATAGCAAGCTATAGGAGAAAATGGGTATTTTTGCAATAACTCAGGAACGGCTCGGCCAATCCTTCTCATTTTCAAACTCGACCGAGATATTCTAAAGACCGAACTGTGTAGAAAATTTCATCGTGATCGGACTCTTCTTTCTAAAGTTATCGTGTAAACGGACGGCCGGACACACTGACCGATTCTAGTAGTGTACTCACTTTTTTGAGTACACTAATAAGAAAAAAAAAACAAGTAAAGATTTCCAGTAAAATATATTTAACTGTTAATAAATAAATAAAAAGTGAAAAGGGAGATTCACTTTGTTTTTTATTCTTATGTTCCTCTAAATATATTTTCCATCTTTTTTACGATAAATTTGAACCACTTTATTTTCTTCGTAAAAAAGTTGTCGTCTTTTAATTCATTGATAAACATCGAGAAGAAACATATAAATATCGCAATTTCTAATTAATCATTGTTTCATTCAATCAGAAAAATAATTTCTTGTAATCAATTTTTTGCTCAAAAACAGAATCAACCGCACACTCTAGATTTGAAATTGGTTATTAGCAGATTTAGTTAGTCCGGTTTTTCGATTCTCATCATGTTTAAATACAAAATCTACTTATGAGAAAAAATTTGGTTAAATAAAATTATTCAAATTTTTTATAACAACAAAAAAAAGCCGCATCGAATTAAACATTTCTTTGATCTAATTTATTAAGATTTTAGATTAAAAAAAATATAATCAATCAATAGTCATAATCGTCATGGAAGTTCATCAGGAAGTTCATCTTTACTTCATTCATCAAATAAATCATTATATAATGAATCAAATTTTGAAGATAATGATGCTGGTTTATCAAAATTAGCATTCGTTTTAAATTTTAATATTAATATAACATGTAAAGAAGTACGTGGTTTAAAATCAATTCCAACAAATCGTATTGCTTATTGTACAATGGAAGTTGAAGGAGGAGAAAAATATCGAACTGAACATGCTGAAACTGGAAAACCTGTTTGGGAATCTTTAGCTGAATTTCCAACAAATCAATTTTTACCATTATTAAAGTTAAACTTTTTATGGAAAATCCTGGTTTACTTAGTTTAGATGATAATAAACTTGGAAAATTATCTTTACAAATTGATCCCACTTGTAATAAAACAAATTGGTGAATTGCTATGATTAAATGTAAATATACATCAAATGAACAATTAAAAGTTAAATTAGGTGTTAGAATGGAAAAACCACAAAATCTTAAAATGTGTGGGTATGGTTACATTTCATACAATATTTTAAACAATTTTTACCAATTTTTTTTTCTTTTATTATTCAAAGATGGTGCTATGCTAGAGGAAAAAATGTATGGAAAACATGGAAACGACGATATTATGCATTTGTTCAAGTAAATAATTCTTAGATTTTATATTTATTCAAATAAACAAAATAAAAAAAAACGATAATTAACAAGTGTCAATTGTCATCTATATTTATATATTGAATAAATATTCAATATGAAATATTGATTAAGTAGACAATAGAAGAAAAAACGTGCGATTATAGGAATTTGGTTTTGGTATAGAAGAAAAGGATTAGTTTGACATTGAAGAATATTTGTTTGAAATCTCAAGTGTTTACTATTGAAATTATCTATAGAATAATGAATTTATCATCGAGGGCATTTAATGTAAATATTAACTTTGTTGAATGTATTCTAGAGAGATAATATTAATGAATTTATTAATAAGATAACAGTTCGAGTTAGATTTTTTCATTTATATATATATATATATATCAAAGAAAATAATTTGTGATTGATTTAACAAATAGAAATTAATATATGTTTATTAAATAAATGACAAAAACAAATGATTTTCAGGTATCTCAATATTGTTTTGCAACATGTAGTTATCGTGAAAGAAAATCCGAACCAACTGAAATGATGCCACTTGAAGGTTATACTGTTGATTATGCTGAACCTGATAATGGTAAAGAAATAAAATCAATAAAAATAAATAAATATTCGACTATTGAAAGGTTTAATAATGCATGATGGAAAATATTTTTTTAAAGCTGTACGTGAAGTTGATGTTGTTACATTTGCAACAAATGAAGAAAATTAACGACATAGTTGGGTACAAGCATTATATCGTGCTATTGGTCAATCACATAAACCAACACCATCAATAACACAAATTAATAAATCAAATTCAACATCAGGACAAAAAGATCTTTCAGGTTAATAATAACATCAATTTTGAAATCTAATATTCATCTTTTATTTATTTAGATTCTGATCGTTCAAAAAATCTTGGTTTTGATGAATATATACAAAGTGATCCATGTGAATTTGATCATCATGATTTATTTAAAACATTACAAACGGCAACATTAGATTTTCGACTTAATGATCCATACTGTTCTTTGGTAAATATTAACAACAAAAAAAACACACCATTTTTTTTCATTATCTTTAACTGTTTTATTATTCTATCGAAAAGAAAAAAAAAGATAAATATTAGAAGTTGAAAGAGCTTTTCTTTTTTTTTTAAATAAATGGTTAAACTTGGGTGACTGGATAAAATATTGTTTGTTTTGTGTAATTAAACTATTTATTATTTATTAGGGTTCGTTAAGTCCAGTACAAAGTTATGTACTTGAAGGTATTATTTATTTCAATTAAATAAAATTCTAATATAATATATTTATTAAATAGTATATTGTTCTCGATATGGTGTTCGTGGTTGTTTAAGATATCTTTATTATTTAAATGATTTACTTGATAGAGCTGACCAAAGATTTATGATTGATCCTCAATTTCTTCATTATAGTTATGTTTTTTGTACATCTCATGTTTCCAGAAATCGGTTAGATTATTTTAAAATATTTATTTTAAATAAATTAATTTTCGGTTTTATTTAGACCTGATAATAATGTTTCTACAATAACTATGGAAGAAAGAGATCGATTTAGTGAAATAAAAGAACGATTAAAACAATTTCTTGAAAATCAAGTTACTAATTTTAGGTGCGGATATTTTATTAATCAGTTATACAGACAACATTATTTTATTTATTAGTATTATATTTTAAATAAAATATTCGAAATAAAATTCTTATTTAACCAAAAATTTTATTCAAGTTGAAAACAAAAAATAAAATCTGATCAATTCTTTTTAATGAACGTAGATAAATAAAGTATCATAGAACATATTTGAGAATTATTTATTTACTTAGTTAATTAATAATCGATGAAACTAGATTGGTTTAATCTTTATTTATTTATTTGTTAAGATTTTCATTTCCATTTGGTCGACCCGAAGGTGCATTAAAAGCAATATTAAGTTTACTTGAACGTGTTCTTTCAAAAGATATCTCAACACCAATATCTCGTGATGATATACGAAATTTTATTCGAAAATGTCTTCAAAATGCTGCATATTCAAATTATACACGGGTTTCAGATCAAGCCAAAATTGAAGGTTACACCTTTTTTTTTATTTTATTTAACTTTTATATTGATCAACTACCGAGTGGCCCAAAAGTAAGGAAACAAACATGGTATGCTATAATAATGGAT